AACTCATTTCCTGAACTGATGAGCAGCATTTTTAACTATACTACCTGGGCCTACACATGACAGTTTAAGTTTTATATCTGATGATAGTTTTACTTATATAAAGTCTGTGTTTTATTCAACAAAGCAAAAAATGTGCAAAAAGCACCTTCACCAAAAACTTGCAACTATTAATTGTAAGTAACAATTAAGGGATCAAATAATTTTGTCCCTTAAATAGAATATAAGTTTTTGTATCCAACTAGTGGGATATATTTTGTGAAATTTAAGTGAATGTCCCGAGTCAGTCAGAGCAGCAACATGGACTTTTATGACAATTTGTGCAATGCTGTGAGCCCCTCCCTTCATTCTTCTTAATTACTTGAATGTATCCAGCATAAAATACTTCTTTATTGGAAAACACACTAGAAAAAATATAATAAAACAGCCATTTATCTGCTTTTGCATGCATACTCTTCAGAAATGCCATGGAGCCAAAGGATTCCCATCAGGGAAGGAGTTGCTCCTAATGTTAACTTTCAAGTCCCTGGTGAGAGCAGATCTTGGACTTCTATGTGCTTGTTCTGGGAATAAAAAGAATTAATTACACTTTCTTTTTCAGCCAGCTCACTCCAAAGTGGTTTATTTCTTATTGTGTGCATGTAATTGAAAATCACAGCTCTAGGAAATAGCCTTTATTATTAAGAATATCATTAAGATTATTTAGCTTGGAATTTATGGTACTACAAATTGTTTATACTTTTGTAAACCACTGTAAAATCAAAAAAGTAGAGGCAGAAGCTTTAAAGATATAGCAATCTGTTTTCCATTAATGCCATCAAAGTTTCTGGGGGTGGGTGGGGTGGGGTGGAGGAAAGAGATTGACCATCATTTCCTCTCTACTGAGGTAAGCCATAGACTATATAAGCAATACCATCAGTATGCACAAATTGGATATGAGGTGCACCATCTGTAGATGCAAATGACAATTTAAAAAGACATATTCAAACAACTGTGCATGCATAGTAACAATATTGGAAAGTTTGGTCCAAGATTTTTATATCTCTTACAGAGGTAAAAACGTCTGTTAGATGCCATACTCCCCTAAGAACTGTAAGGAAATCAAACTTCTGAATGTAATGGAATTTCTCGTCTTTCATTGTCAAAATTGAATACATTTTGAGGTTGAAGAAGGCAACATATCTCATTACAGACTGGTTAGTACAGAATGTAAAAAAATCGGCTGCTAAGTATTGAAATGATGGCATTTCCTCCTTTTACATGTAAATTGTCTCATAATCCAATTTATTTCTGTATAAATTTATTGCAGCATATGCTAATGCACAGAATTGGAACAAGAAAAAAATTAAAGGCATTGTAAAACATATGGAAACATACAGATTATGTGATCTTTACTAAAAATCCATCTTAATGATGAAAGCACCACATAGCATCCTCTATGGAACTGCACTCCTTCATTTATTTATGAGATACTACTTTCTGTAGACAAAGAAAGTATCTCCCCAAAATAGGAGTGCCATATTTTCAAGACATACTTTATATTTTATTTTTGCAACTAGTAAATGTCAGACAGTATTCATACATGGTATTGACGCATTAATGTTTTCATTCAACAATGAAGATACCTTTCCTTGTTACATTATATATTTATGACACATGGAGCTGTCAAATAAATTATGTCAAAGCAGCTAAAGCCAGACCTTGTGACACTTGAATCACAGAATCAGGGCAAATAACCTTTGAAATGAAAGACATATGATGAGGATTAGGAACATTAAATTTGCATAAATATAATGTTAACAGCCTTTTCCTTATTACATATTTTATGTCTAATTTTTAATAGTCACTATATTCATTTCTTAACATGAGTATGCACTCTATTGTTTTTCCTCATTGCTCACTTTGTTTTGGAACATGTGATACACAACTTCTGTAAGCAACGTATGATCACATCCCCATTTTAATATAAACTGATTAACACATCTTAAATTCACATAATGTATAACATTTAGAATTAATTCCTAAATCTAGATAAAAATTCCTAAACATATCAAGAAAATGTACCATCTTTGAAAATACTGGGCCATGTCTTGAACAATCTTATATTAATGTTTTCCAATGAAGTGAAAATATACCAACATGTGCAAAACTGAATAATTTACTTTCATAAGCTAGACAACTCATACAATTTGAATTTAGGAACGTAAAATCTGAGCACCTAAGTATACATATAGGAATCAAAGTGAGTGGCTAGATTTTCAGAATTTCTTACTACTCAGAGTAGTAAACTCTTTGGTTTCATGAGTTGAAATCCATTACTGAATGAGAGACTTCCTTTAGCTTCTGCTGGAGAGTGCCATCTTTTTCTCACACCTTTAGAAATCAATAAGAACAGAGTGACTTTGCAGAGCTCTGCCATTTTTGCTATCACAGCACGAGCTTAGGTATGCAAGCATAGTTAATAAAACTTCACATTACTCTGAAAATTCTCATGTTCAAGAAAATAAGGCTGAAAGGTACAAAGATGAATGAGCTACCTCAAGAGGCCATAATAATTAAACCACACCTTAGTGCGGACAGCAAGACCAGGACCTGCACCACTGTAAGGAGGAGTAGACTTTTTGCAGTCTCTTTGCTGCAGGGTGAGTTTGTCCCACTTCACACTTCTGAATCAGAAGAATAAATGTGGTTTATTCTATTCTGTAATATTCTGTTATTTATAATAGTGGTATTTGGACTAGATGATTGAAGTATGTTGTTCTGTTCTGCTCTATTCTATTGAAACTGTTTGGGATATTTTGGGCTAAGCTCCTATGTGTTTACATAGTAACTTTTAGTGATAGCCAGAAGGAAGCCAGTGGACGGTTTATACAGAGAAGCATTAAGGATTGAAATTGATTGTAAACTCCAAAACTTAATCTAGAAGGTCTAGGGCATTTCCTTAAATCAAAGAATTGAGCAGTTGTTGTTGACAATTGTCAATTTGTGAAGCTAGTGAAGCAAACACACCATCACCAGAGATTTACAGAGCACCTCAGGAAAGATGCTAAGCAACTCCCAGCCCATCAGCAGAGTGACCTGTTGGTCAGTTTCTAGCATGAGATCTGATGGCATGGCATCCTGGTCATTTGAAGACTGGCAACGTACAATCACCAGTTTTAGTAAACATCAGCCACTCAGGGGAGTGGTGGTGTTGGAATAGAAACTGCATCAGTAGTAATTTGCCTTTCTTGGTCAATGGTAAAAAAAAGAAATGACCGTCCCTCACCTAACTGTGGTTCTTTCAAGCAGTTCTGGTCCAACAGATCTTAAACTCACTACTGCTGGTTTAGAAGCAACTGAAAGGGTGGCTATCTTCATGGGTCCCTTGAATGCTCTGTTCCGTTGAGAAACAGCTGCCCTAAGTGGTAACACTTTCTGGAAAGGAAATCTTGTTAGCAAAGTATATTCTTGAAAATAGAAAGAAATTCAGGCTAATTGTATAAGGTACAGGAATATTACAAGTATCGTAATACCCAGAGTTGAAAGGTTAAAAAATTTAGAATTATGATTAAATGTTTCAAGGGAAGAAACGTATTTCATCCCTGATTCTGCCCTGAGAGACAATCAAGCAGTAATCACGGCAATAAGACATTTTGAAATCTTACACTGATGAAATCATTTTCAAAAGGACACTGTGCCATAACAAGGTCTTTGAACTAACGGGAAATAAATGTCTACCCAAAAAGCCATTTAGCTGTGGAAAGTTATGCCTATTGAAAGCAGTGGAAATTAGAAGCCATTTTGTTAATTTGATGCAGAGATGCACAGGGTTTCATTAAGGCTAACACTGCAAAGAATTTTAAAAGTATCTCTGTGGCTCCATTTACAAGATCATTCAGAAAAAAAAAATGAAACTCTCCTGGTAGATGCTATCTTTGCTAAAGACCCTATTTTTAATAATTTCATTAATCAATTTATCTGTAAATTTTCAGGGGAAAAAAAAACCAAACAAAACATTTAACTGTCAGAGAATAAATACCAAATGTAGTAGAGAAGATACCATTTATTCATTTTGTAGTTGAGATCTCCATTCAGCTGTGACATTAAATTGATGCTTCTACAATTAAAATACATTGTAAACAGTTTCCAGAGTGTTAATAAATTACTAAAACTGTTTGAGGAAGTTATTAATCAATTGTTATAGCCTGTTACTGAGTCCAAGGATGTAATGCATTATTTGCAATCAACTACAGCCTCCCGAATGAATGCACCTAGGACAATGTACAGAATTCATGGTTATTAATAAACCCTTTGAATAGCAATTATGAAAGCAGACTCAGAAGAACATATATAGAACACTTCTGGTCATCTGCAGAACAAACCAGGAAATAACTCCATGAGTCACCTATAAGTGAAAGGGTAAAAATTCCCATGGCTCTCTCCCATTGTCTTCTAGCATTGTGACATCACCAAGACCAGAAGAAAAGCCTTAGCACAACTATGAAGAGATGTGAAAATCACTCCATGGGCCACCTCATCTACTGCAGGTAGCTTCTTTGGGCACAGAGGAAGGAGAGTCCAGACAAGCACCGATATGTTAACTGCTGCTGAAACAGGATTCTTAACATCAGATATTGCCTGCAGACTCCAGCTACAAAAAGCATCCTTGTACTTCTCTCTGCAGTACTGACCTGGCCGTTATGGCTGTGACATATTCGAACCTTTTAGCTTCTGTAGGTTCTTTTTTAAGTCAGTGAGGAAAAAGACTACTTCATCTTTTCTCATTTTTTTGATTTTTTTTTTTCTCAACTTACTTTTTACTGCTAGTGTTCATGTACCATCTACAAAGGTAGAAAGAAAAAGTCACACATCTTGCCACATAAAATGATATTGATATGATAGCACAATCTAATATGGTTGCTAGCAATCCATACTTACAGGCCAAATACTTAAACCTTAAATTCTTCCACCCCATTTGTGTGCTTGCACATAGAACTGCACATCAGGATTGGGACATTTTATATCTCTCCACTGTCATCCCTCAGCTGCCACAGCTGAAGATTTCATACACCAAACAAATCACAGCTCTAACTGGAAATGAAGACTACTCTATGCTGGAAACAAGAACAAGTTTTGGAAAAATATTGCCAGATTTTTCTCTTTGATCTGAGCTAAAGGATACCTGTGGCTTTGAAAATGTAGCAAACTGTAATAATAACTTTTGACAACTTCTAAAGGGGGAGACAAGCCAGTGCACTTAGCCAGCATACATCCACCTTTTCTGAACATACAGTGCTTTCACTGACCTTGGCAGGCATTAAAAAGCATGCAAAACCAAGTACAAAAAATAGAAGCGTATGTTAGCTGTGATATGGTGCTGCTATTGCAAATGGCTGTCTCGAACAGAAGAAAGGGTAAGTAAAGCCATTAGACACAGCACTGGTATATGGCTTCCTGCATGTACTGTACCAAATATAACGCAATGCTTTTAAGAATTCATAATGTCTCTATTCCATACACAAAACTACAGATGCATATTACAACTAATGTTACAATAGAAGATATTTAAAAGAATATACCTCACTGGTAAACACAGCCTGTACCTCATGTCTGCTTTTTAATAATTTGTATCTAAATCTATTTAAAAATATTATATAAGCTTACTATAGAACAATTGCATGGACATTCTCTGCCTGATGGCAGCTGAAAGATTTTTTGTTTTCTGAATGGCAGTTCTGTCATTACTGAATGTAGTAAATATATATGGCATACAAAAGATCATCTATGAGATCCCTCGGAGAAAAAAACTAAGGAGAAACCGTGGTGTAGTTAATTCTGAATATGAGCAGATGAAACTATCCATATTCAATGAGTTGACATCACATTTCACTCTGTTCACTGAACTTGCTGTAATTCTAAATTGGGAGAAACAGAAAAAAACATACATTATAATGTTTTCCTAGAATATAATGTAGGATTAGCAGATGAAGCAGTCCTAGCTTGAAAATGCCACCATTATAAAAAATATTAAATCAAAAAATAATTTATTTATGATGAGGATAAGCTGCAAAAAGCAACAGATGACTTTCTTAACAACTGATCAACATAAAAATGAGAATTACATGACATTATCCTTGTAGGATATAGACAAGAGCACCTTTGCATTTGCAAACAGCAGCAGAGATGACAAGGAACCACAAAGCCTTTTTTGCCTCTGCTTTTCTGCCAGTGAAAGACTATTTCCTGCTGTGGGGAGGAAACTGGAATCTAAATTAGGATGAATCACTTTCCATAAATATCCAAGTCCTTCCTCCTATTCTTTTTTTTTTTTTTTCCTCTCCTCCTCTCCTCTCCTCTCCTCTCCTCTCCTCTCCTCTCCTCTCCTCTCCTCTCCTCTCCTCTCCTCTCCTCTCCTCTCCTCTCCTCTCCTCTCCTCTCTTCTCCCCTTCTCTCAATTTCACTCCACTCCACTCCACTCTCTTTTCCTCTCCCATCCCCTCTTCCATGCCATCCCATCTTTTTCTGCCATTTCTCTTTCATGTAAATACTCAAAATACCTTCTCACCCCAGCATCTTAAAAAGGCAGAGGAAGAGGAAGATCGTCTGTGTTAGTTACAGAGTGGTACTGCTACTGTGGTCACCCTGCCTTTCTATTCCTGTTCATCTTTTTTTCAGGTGTTAAACAGAAGGAACATATTAAAAAAAAAAACCCTCAAAGCACATGCTTTGAATACTCTGAAGAAGCATCAGCATCATACAGAGGTTGTTCATAATTACATTTAAAATTTGAGGCTGCGTGCCTCAGACTAATCCACTAAGCCACTATTCAGAGTTTTGACTTGCCTAGCAGCTCTGGTAAAACATAGCATCAGCTCCTAGAAAAGTGGGCTTCTGAGCTCGCTCTACCTCCCTCTTTTCACTTTGAAAATTTGCCCTGGTGTGTTCATGTCCCATTCCCATAAAATGAGAATGCTAATACATAACTGTCTTACAAGAATGTTAGGAAGGTTAATTAATGCCTGTAAAGAATGCAGACATTTTACAGCACAACAATCATCCTAATTCATCTAATCAGACCCAGACAATATATACAATAGTCATCCCCACTATTTTTGCCCTGAAGTTACCATTTCAGTAAATTTTTTTTTTTGCAGAGCAATAAAATGAGAAATTATGAAAAGCTCTGAATAGAACAGGTTTTTCTGGTGAACCCACTAGACCAATGTGCCAACTTACCTTGTCTGGATAAATCAATGAAAAGGGATTTTGTCCATAGGCAACTCTAATTTAATTAGTAAAATATAAAGTGGAGGGAAAAAAAACAAAACCACAGACCATGATGTGTTTAATGTCTCTTGGAGAAGGCTCTGAGCCAAGCTCTAGCCATGTTTGGAATTGTACATAGAACCATGGGAAAGGAAAGCACACTACTTGTAATGCACGTTCAGTTACACTGGGATTACAATGGAAAAATCTCACATGGTTTATAAGGAAAATCCAGGCTTTTATACAGGGAATGCAAGTATTACTGAGCAAGTAAATATGTGTTCAAGCAAATGTATGTTCAGGCCTCAAGACTCAATTTCTGAGCCAAGTCTTAGTTCTCCCTCTAGCTCTCCCTTATACCTCACGCAATTCCTCTCCTTTCCACCAGTGACCCAACACAGCACACTACAGTGCAGGGTACAGACAAGCTTATTAGCTTGAAACAAACTTGCTCAGGATCCAGAAGCCTTTCGGTCAGAACAGTGTGGTGCTGTGTAAAGTAGCTGTAAGAAATCCAAGGGTTGTCCAATTGCTGTGAGCATCCAAGAATCCCTCCAGACATTACCTACCCCTCCTGTAAGTCTCACCCTGTGAATCTGAATGGCATCGATGGCTGAAGAAATAGATTCAAAGAAGACAGGAGTTTCAGATTCAAGATTTCCACCGTACTGCATTGCTTTTATCAAGGAAGCTGCAATAAAATAAACATGTGAGCATTGCTAAGGTAGTGAGGATATATAAACCGTCAAGTTCAGATTTTTTCTGTAAGCTGATACTTGCCTTTGCAGTGCGCTAGCAACACATCGATGTGTCTGCTTTTACAGTCCATGTAAATCTATATGTGTGAAAACATGAAATTAGGAAAAAAAAACAACCAACCTGTTCAAAATACCAAGAGAGAATAAAATACGCAAAAAGATGATATTCACAGCAGGCAGAGAAGAGTTCTGCTGTTGAAGCTATACTGCCGGTGGCCACCAGAGTGCGCTCTTCTATAATTGTAACACCACAAACCCACTCTAATTTCCTCCCCCCGCGTCAAAGGACTCTACAACTCTACTGAGAATTTTATGTGACTTTGATTAACAATTTTGTATTTTTTACTATGCTTTTAGAGCTTTTTTTCACAGTTCCTTTTTTCAGCAAGTTTTCCCACCTCCTCTCCATATGCTTACCTACCAGTCCACAACAACAGGAATCACACCTAGGAAACATAGAGACTCACAGCAGTCTATCTGCAGAAAGTTTTCTATTCTTTCTTTAAAAACGTTCAGCTTCACAGAAACTAAAAAATCAATAAGCTATAAAGTAAAAAAAAAATCTGAAAATAATCCTTTAATCAGAGGAGGGCCTTTTTCTGGCAGATAAGGAACACCCAAAGCAGACCCTGCTTCAAAAAATGTTTAAATAAGCCATGTAAAGTGGAACAATTCTGAGAGGAGAAATTACATGAGAAACAAGTCAGAACACCCTATTTTAAAAACAAACCAAAGCCCAAGTAAGTATAAAAATCCCTTCAACTTTAGCAGCAGTGAAAGAATGTAACAGCAACTACACCTTGAGCGTGTTTCTCCTCTGAGTAACTCAGTTTTGGACCACTCATTCACTCAGGCACCGCACTCCCAACTTTACCTCTCATAGTCAAATACTTCTTTGACATAACGTGCAGTTAATTCTGAGGTCTCAAGATCTTCTGGAAGCAGGGGGCTGAGACCTAATGCCAAATCTAGTCTTCTGCCTTACTCAAAAATATTATATGACCCAAAATTTGCATACCCACTTAAATCTGTACCCACTGCACAACTATTAAATGCCAGACCCAATGGAAACATAAAGAATAGCTTATGAGCATATTTTTTTACCCACTATATAGAACCACTGATTATGTAGAGACAGACTCATTTAGGTTGGAAAACACCATTAAGACCATGAAGTCCAATCAGTAACCCAACACTGCCAAGTCCACCACTAAACCATGTCCCTAAGCACATCTACACGTCTTTTAAATATCTTTGGGGTGGTGACCCAACCACTTCCTGGGCAGCCTGTCCCAGGGTTGACAACCCTTTTGGTAAAGAAATTTTTCCTAATATCCAGTCTAAATCTCCTCTGGCACAAATTGAGGATATTTCCTCTTGTCCTGTCACCTGTTACTCGGGAGCAGAGACTGGCCCCCACCTCACTACAACCCCCTTTCCGGTAGCTGTAGAGAGAGATAAGCCCCCCCCATGAGCCTCCTTTCCTCCAGACTGAACAACCTCAGTTCCCTCAGCCACCTCTCTTCAGACTTGTGCTCCAGGCCCTTCACCAGCTTTGTTGCGCTTCTCTGGACTTGCTCCAGCACCTCAATATCACTCTTGTAGTGACGGGCCCAAAAGTGAACACAGTATACAAGGTGTGGCCTCACCAGTGCCGAGTACACGGGGATGATCATTGCTCTACTCCTGCCAGCCACGCTATTTCTGATCCTGGCCAGAATGGATGACTGGGCATGCTGCTGGCTCATATGTATTCAGCCATGAACCAACACCCCCTGGTCCTTTTGTCCACTACATACAGATACTTTCACTTGCACTGAATGTCACCTAAAAACTTTAGAATTACTTTTAATGTAATTTTAAATATTAACACGTTCTAGTTTAATATGAAATCTGTGTTCATGTTTTCCACAAGTTGCATGTTTATCTACGAGCATAGGTGAGGTGACTGTAGCTGGTCCTAATAACTCATACATGTAAATGATATTTTTATGCACAAAATCTGTGTGATGTCATAAATACCTGAAGCAGCACTGAGACTCCAGTGTAGTCAAAGAAATTCAGCCCACTGCAATCTAATATCAAAACACGTTGCTCACTGTGACATGACTGCAACGATTCACCTACACATTTGATAAATGAAATACTTCAATTAAAAGGGAGAGTAGTCAAGAAATGCATATAAGAATAATGATAGTTTAACAAAATAGGCCCAAACTTTAACAAATGGCACATTTTAGAATCAAAATGAGGGATCTTCAGAGCAACGGGATGAAATGACGGTGGGTAGAACATATTATTAATGAGATTTTTTTAGACAGGACTAGACTGTCAAGAATTAAAGAATTGCTTCTTCAGATTTTAATTTCTAAATGACTCAGGATAATGTCTTCTTCAGAAAAGTTTGTATGGGGCACACAGACAATATATCTCTTAATATCACATTCATTTCTGTAATATCCAAACATCTGCTATGGCTTAACTAATATTTGCCTGTAAGGAAGAAAAATATGTAGAGTGTTTCATTTTCTTAAGCTATTACTATGATGGATTTTGTTTGGTTTATTTTTTATATACTATCACAAGTTGGAAAGATGTTGGCAAGATTTGCTAAGGTCTTTCACTCATTCTTCAATCTCAGGCCATCTTGTACTAAAACTAAGAACACTCTGTACTAAATGTATACTGAACTAGCACACAGAGATATGATTCCTGGCTTTCATAAAGGGAAAACTAGAAAATAATGCACACCTTATTTACATTGTTCTGTCAACAAATGCTAGTTATCATAATACACAAAACTAAAAAAATCCCAAACATATTAAGGAAAGGAATTCTGAATGTAAGAACAGGTTTTGACAGAGCAGAGGTAAAGATTTTAAACTCTTGAGAGGACTTAGGATATCCCCATGGTATAGATTTATAGTCGATGCTAATTCCTTTCTGACAGTAGTCTGAAGCCAGAGCCTTCTGGACTTGCACCTCTGGAGATTTACTGTCTTTGTATTGTCTAATGTACATTAATAGATACATACTAAGCAGAAATACTAAATTTTAAAGGAAACCTCCTGCCTGACATTACTGTGATGGAAGCCTGGAAAGGATTTATGAGATCTGCTATGCTACTCATAATAATTTCTACATGCCTCCTCTCCCTTTAAAACAAAAGAACTCAGTCTTTCTGCTATTACTCCTGCTACTTCCCCACCCAAGTGGCATCCTGTGTTGCAGGAAAGACTTCCTGGTTTCTGTATGGGGAGGGAGGTACAGATCTGCTTCCTCTCTGAACCAGTGGCAGGGGCAGCAGCAGCAGTTTAATTCAGTGCTAACTCAGACCAACAGCAAATCAGGATTTCCCAGAGGGGGGAAAGGGAAGATTTCGACAAAGACGTTAAGTTGCTACACTTTCCAGGATGACTGCTGTAAGGATTGTGTCCTCCTGCTCCCCTCCTTCCTGAAAATTGAAGCCCTACATTTTGGTTTTATAGGGATTTTTCTTTTTTCTCTCTGTTTTTTATTCTAAAGTCCCCTAGAACAGTCACCAAAGACTGGTTGGTGCAAGGAACTATAAAGCAAAGTCCTCAAGGCAGGCCTTAAGCAATCAGAAAAGAGGCCTTGTGCTGTCTGTCACTTTGGTAATGTGAGAAACCAGTTGATCTAAAAGAACAAGGTTGAAGCATGTACTGGCAAGATTTTCTTATGCATAAGGTGTTGTGCGCTTTTTTAGTATTTTACAGTGTATTGCTATACAGTCTTCAGTATCACTATGTTGCGATTTTTTTCAGCAAAGCACTCTGTCACCCCTAAGTAAATTAAACACTGTAGTATCATAAAAATGTCAAGAGTCTAGTTAATAAATGTAAACATTCAGACAACAGCCTCCAAATCTGATTCTCTACTGTGGCCTTAATGCTTGTAAGTATTTTAGATAAACACAGTGTTTTAATTCCATCCACAATAAAGTCATCTGTATAAAGTACCTTGTGCAATAGGTAGTTGTAGCTCTACCATGGGAATGTATGGGCTCTGGTTTGATTTAAGTGTTACAAAGGGTGAGAAAACTGGAATTACTCAGCTTAATCCTTAGTTGAAAGCGAGCCCTTATGTTTTTTCTTTATACTACACTGATACACTGTACAATACGGGTGCCCATCGTGTCACTGATAAGTCAGCTGACATTTCATGAGATTTTTCTCCTCAGTGGCTTTAAAGATCACAAAGACTTAACACGGCTCTAACCTTATCCTTTTTTTTACTTTTACATACTAATATTCAAGAGCCACTCTGAATGCAAAAATCAGTGCTTAGCAAAACAGCTTCTTCGGCCTTGGTCTGAAGACCAGTCTGTGGCATACCCATTTCAGTATGCACACTGTGACTAATAAGCAGGGACTCCTGTAGAAAAGGTATTCTTCTGGGTTCCCTGCTTTTTAAATCTTAAAAAGTCAGTCAACAGAATAAAAAGACCCACTAGTTTAAAAGAGTACAACACTGTTTAGCATTCATGCTTCATTCATTTAGGTCTAACTGAAAATACTAGTTTCTAAACTTCTTGAGTTCACCCATAAATAAATAGAAAAGCATAGAGCCATTTTTCATGCTTACATCCATTTTCATTTTAATATCATTTATAGATAATAAACTCACCATGACAACTTCCATTGGAAAATGAACACAGCAATGTGTTCTGCTCACTCTGAAATAAAAGCAACAAACTATTAACATAACAAGGAAAACCAGTCTGGCATAGTAACCAGAGAAAAATCAATTCAATATATAAGCATTCTGTTTCTCGATATCAAAGTTAACTCCTCATCAAAATCATGTTTTATGCAATAGCCTATTAGATACAGAAGATTTGCTGAATATGTATCTCAGTTGTTCTTCTAAAGTTATATCAAACTGATATTCCACTTTTCTTTTTAGATGACTCAAACTTTCACGTTTGGATCCACTAGAAAGCATATTATAAACATGGTGCTTTTGGAGAAGCAGGGGTTGATTAAGAGATGGGTCAAAAGACGGCAAAGAAGTTGGAAAGATAAATTCTAGCCAGTGATTTTATAAGATTAACTTTTGATTCATTTTCTACTTGCTATAATCTCATCTGCTACACTAATATTTTGGTAAGGACTTTTTTGACATGAAAATTTATTAAAGAATTGACTTTATCTGCTTTATCTGGGTAAACTCTTTATAATTACTTCAATATGAATTTTAAGTTTTCTGTAGAGATATGAGTTAAAACCAGAAATACAGCATGGAAACAAAATCCAAAGTGAAATTTTTTCATTCCCATTGTGTGCTACAGAAAGACCTTTATTTCACAAGAAAAAATGCATGCACGGTATTTCAGACATCTGTATTGCCAAGAACCTTACAGAAGAGACAAAGGATAAAATCTCCTTCCTAAGTAACTTATATAGTAACTTATTAAATTAACTTATTAGACTTATCAAATTAATTCATAAATTATTTCCATGAAAACCCTAAGTAATTTCTCTGTTTAGAAGTTTGTTATCATACTAATCCTAATCAGTTAGCCTGGCAGAACCAAGGAATAATCTTTGAGCTGAATTTCTGAAAATAGTGGAGAAGCCACTCATCAAAGGAGGTATGGGTAGCACAACTTTTTGGCAAGAGACAGGAGAGGTGGTAGACATAAATTGTTGAATCCTAGAATCACAGAATGTATGGGTTGAAAGGGATCTTAGAGATCATCCAGTTCCAACCCCCTGCCTTGGGCATGGACACTTTCCAGTAGACGAAGTTGCTCTCCAGCAAAAAAAAAAATCACATCTTATTCAAGCAGATATGTAGCTACTCATTGTCTTTTCAAAATTACCACCTTATGTTAACTGAAGTTATGTAAGTTCTGCCAGAAGAGTTTCAGATCAGTGCTTTAATGGTTCTTACAAAATCATATATAGAAATAGCAAAGATATTCTTTTCAATTAATAATTAGAAAACAATCCTTATCTAATCTGATTAAGACAAGTATTAACTTTATCCTATTCTAAATTAATCATTTACCTTTTTATATCTGTTTCAATATCTGATTACATTTTCTATGAAATATAAGGAAAGAAATCAAGGTCTTCAACACTATCACCATAATTACTCAAACATATAGCATATCCTACCTTGTTTACATCTTCACATGCCCCGCTGCTCCTGTTATCCTTTTGCATTATCTTTGTCAGGTCAGCATGAAATTTCCTGGCATTCAAAAAGACTAATGGGTTGTTGACTGAAACTATGTTTACCTGTTTTAATGATTCCTGTGGAATGAAAGAAACATAAAGCTGAAAAAAAGTCTCTTGGGTTTGAAGACTAAAAACTGAACTAATTTCTTTAAAAATTCTGAAAATTCCTGGAAATCAACCTGGCAGGAATTCTGGATTGCAAGAATGGTTTAACAGATAACTGTCTTGATCAGTCTTCACACGCAACTGAAATAAAAAGGAAATATAAGTAAACCATAAGGGAAATTATCCTTTATTCAAGTTAGCATAAAAGGAAAATCATAGTCATTATGTTGCATGATCCGCAAACTTAGGAAAGACAAGGTTTTCAGACAGCAAATATCTTTTATTAGGTGAACACATGTATTGAAAAAAGTACACAGGGTTTTGAAGGAAACACTGCAGGTGGTTTAGAGAAGGCTGTAAATGTTCATCTTGGTCATCGGAAGATGGTTTTAGTACAACAGGGATATTTCTCTCTGGAAATACTTAGTCAATTCAGACCAAGCTTGTTTAGCTCAAAACATAGAATGATTTCTGAAGGATGTCAGATGAAGGTCAGAAACTCACAGGTACCAGCAAGTAATAAAATTAATATTTATGTATAAATATATTGGATATCAGCAATCACAAGCCCAGCTGAAATGCTGGCTTTGTAAGCAGGTACCATTAAACTAATTCTAGCGAGCTTTCAATTTTCTACAGGTTGTGACCCATGTCTCTCTTTTCCTTAGGAAAATTAGGTCTAAGAGAGACCTAATTCAGTGTGCAGCACAGCTGCTTGGATTTCTGCTGTTCCTGTTTCGGACTTGAGGAAAAGTCTGTCAGTTGTTAGGGTCTTCTACTTTTCCTATTTATGTTATTTGATCTGGTGAAAGATATTACATCTACTTATAAAGTTTTTTATGTATATTCCAAGAAATAGTTATGTTAATCTTCAACACATCTAGCTCTGTAAACAGAAATAAGCAGGATCATGTGTGACCTGTAAAAGTTATCAATATTTTCAGTAGCATTTTCTGGTTTTCTACCTGACAGGCAAGCATGCAACTAGAGAATCTGAAATAGACACAAAAACATTGCTCATAAGCACCAGCTGCCAAAAAAGTAACAGGATTAATTTGTCTTTCGGGCAAGTCTTTTATGGTAGTGGATGATCTCTAGGTTACAGGTGGAAGTTCAGAGCATTATCCTTCCCAGTGAGAAGAAAAGAGAATCCCTGAACACACACCACCTGATCATTGCACAGCAGTGATTCCCACTAGGTATTTTAACATGCAAAGCATGGTACCATTGAGTGTCAGCTTCAATAGTGTCATAAAAAGCTTTGCCTGTTTTGGAATAATGAAAACAGGATGGAAGACATAATTGTGCTGATTTTAAGGGGCAAGCATTGCAGCTGGCAACACCTTGGCAGGTCAGCAGGAGACCGTGATAGCAGATTGACAGGTTTGATTCTGAAAGGCTCTCCAAAAGGATTTCAGTCCACAAAAATGCTCTATGCAATAAAATATCCTATCACTAAGTGCAAAAAGGGGGCTGGATAAAGAAAAAAACATTTTCTACTGCAATAAAATATCTGATTTATGTGAGCATCAGCTCTCAAAAATGAAATTCTTGTGATAATGGGTAAAAGGAAGTAAAAGCCAAGAATTTGCAAGAGAATACAGATTCAAAAATTCTCTCTTCTTCCTAACAAAAGATATGTAATAAAGTCACACCCAAACACAAGCAAATGGAGCTGACACAAACCATTTTTTAAGAAGTTCAAAAAGCATGGCATTGAATTGAAGACATGCAATTTTCCCAACAGACCTTCAAGCACAACAGGAATTGAAATCCTCACCACAAACCACACGAACTACCTCCTTATTGTAGACTGCTATTCAGACTTCTGGGAACCAGATGATCTCTCAGACACCACCACAGCAACCATATAGACTAAGGAAACATTTCAAACATCCAAAACTGAGGCAACGAACCCCAGACTATGTATAGGGATTTTGCACAATTTACCTATTAATTGGATTGTGGTAAATATCCCATCACCAACGTACCTCTGTCATTCAAGTGGTAAAGCCTAACTGGCAATTTAAATAACTAAGATTATATGCAAGTAAGCTCTAAAATAGGGGCAAAACATAGGGCAATATGTGGTTGATTGGAGAAATACCCCAATATTCTGCAGATTCCCCTAAAATTGCTATACACAGCTGGAGGGTGGAGACAAGTGGGCACTTTGGTGTCATACCAGAACTGGTAAAGTAGAAGGTGAAAACTAAGAAAAAGCAAGAGTAATGTGCAAGGATCAAAGCCTGTAATGATCAAGAAGCTCATAAGCTTCCAAAGACACAAGATGAAAAACTTGAAAGGCTCAAATCGTAATGCCAAATCAAGCAAATGGCAGACTTAGGTATAACCTTTTGTCCAGGAGAGGCGAGGACATGTGTGACAAATTTGACTCACTTATTCCCGGCTTTGGTTTGGTTCTAGTTCCTTTTTTAATAAGAACTGTTCTGAGAAAAATGGACTTCTTCTTTGTTGTGTCCTTGTTAAGAAAGGAAATTATCATGGGAGTCCTATCCCTGCTGTCACTTAGAAGGATACTGGCAATTGCCCTGCGCACTCTGCACACCACTGTCTATGCTTGAGTAAGAATTCAGTTCAGTGGGTGCCTGCGATGCAATGTGTTTCACATAAGCTTCTAAATGCCTTCTTGACTTTTTCCACATTAAACTGTCTTTTCTCTTATTGATGAAATAACCTCTATAAATCTATAGACCTTAATGGCAGGGTAGACCATTAAGCTTGCATATTTTCATGTTTAAAAGTCCTGTTGTTCATGTGTAAGCTGTTATTTACCAGGGAACTTAGATCAGTCTCACATCCATACATGAAAAGTTACCCTAAATGCCTGCTGTAACCCAGCGACTCTAAGTTCAATTAAAGGCATTTTTCTAAATCTTAAAAATATTTTTCTTCTTTGCTTTTGTGTAATAAGCTCTTAAGCAACTTGCTTTCTTAATAAAATGTTATTTTCCCCACTGTCTGCAGACACTAGCTTGTTATTACTTGGTTACTGGCATTAATCTTCATGATTAAGGAAAAAAAGCAGGAGAGCAGTTAGCATAAGAAAACAAAAAAAAGTCACATAGGGATTTGTACAAAGTATTTTGTGAACTGATATGTATACAAGCAGGCAAATAAAATTTTGGTTGCCCATCTCTGACAAAGTTACTGCACCATGTTTCCTAAGAATGAAAAAGGATATAATAATTGACAAATTGGACAGCTTCAACAACAGGGGTTTTAATTCACATTTCAGATTCCTCCCCATTTACATGTAACTTTCACATTCCAGCATTGTTCAGTATGCCAAAATAGTAAACACCCCCAAGCCAAGTTCAGATTTTGAGACCAAGATATCTCTGACGGAAAACATTTGCCACAAAAAAAAAACCTCTTTAGAGGACAGCTTCTTAATGATGAGGTAATAACTGATGAGTGTGTTGCTTACTGATACATAAGACTCTTCATGAGCATTAGGAAAAAGTACATAGTAGAAACTGTCACCGCGGAGAAGGCAGGATGTCCTATTGATGGGACTCTGTGCTGAAAGGACACATGGTTCTGCTTCTCCTTGGCTGTTGGCCTAACATTTCATCTTGGAGGAGGGATTTCACCTCTCCAGGTCATTGCCCTTTTCCTCTTACCATAGGCCTGACCACAAGCAACTTTGATGGTAATTGTAATGAAACTAACCAAAAAATGTAAGATTTCTGACTGGTAGATTTAAGTTTGCAAAAAATCGAATTTCAAAAACACAGTCTTTGGGAAATATTCTTCATTTTAAATGTGAGGGTACCCTTGCTCGAGTACAGAGTGGTGAGATGTGTGAAGCAGTCTGTGACAACTTCATGCTGTTGTCCCTCCTTTTCCAGACATATGTGGTGTCCTCTGGGACAGTTGATCCCAAGGGGCTGCTGGCAGAAAATGGGTCACGAAAGAGATTTTGGATGATGAGAATACCGAAGGACTTTCAGGAAATTAGAAAACCTTATAGGAATATAAAGAGAGCTATTGCCTGCTCAGATGCTCTTGCTGCCAAGAGATTTCCTTAGACTTAGGAATTAGGAAACTTTTACAAAGAGTAATTCCTAATTTAAGAATAACAAATAAACAAGATAGACAGATCTAAGAGGCCTTGCTCAACTTTACTTTGCAGGCTAGCAGCAGAACCAGGAAAATATTACAATTTCTGATGGCCAGACTAGTTTTGTGCTTACTACATCATACTGGCTTTAGATTTCAACTGATCATATAAGAATGTTTCCTTAACTCACTGCTTACAATCTGGTAACCAACTAGAGAAAATGAGGATTAGTGCAACACACACACGAAGTTAACTTACACAATTATCTTCCGGTTTGTATTTATATTCCACTTCTTTCATGTTTTTCAAATTCAGTGTCTTTGCTCTGTAATCAATACACACAGAAAAATCTGTAAGGCAAATCGTTAGTTGTCTTGAACAGAAACTACAGTGTAGAAGTTTAAAGTTGAGACAATGCATTCTATATGCATTTTCATGCGTATAGAGCTTATTTTTTGTGATAATGATCAGATAAAGAGTAAAAAGCATAATTTAAATCATAAGATATCACTTTGAAAATCTGAGTAATGGAAATTTCTGGTAAATAAACTCTTGGTTTTAAGTTTCATTATTGTTTTGTAGCTGGCCAGAAACCTAGTCTCAGGTCAAGGTAGGTAATATATAATCTACAGCTTCCAAAGGAGAGAGGTTTAATTTTTTCTTTTTTTTTTTTTTTAACCTGGAAAATCATAATTTAAGGAAATGAAAAAAAAAATCAAATAGCTATGGGTCGTGAAATTTAAGGATGTTTCATTTGCCATTAAAATTGACACATCTTTATACGCTGAAGCAGAGCATTGCACTCTAGCCATCAAAGTGGGGGACTTAACTGGAAGAGTCAATATCCCTATGTTCTCTATACAGTCAGTGAAAAGATGAAGTTGCCTTGAGAAGGCAGCTCAGTGTAGGACCTTCTGCTTAAATACATCATTTGCAGGAGTACATGTAACTGCAGGAGAAGATGACTATGAAACTATCATCTGAGCTTGGTGCCTAAAGCTAGGAAATGGAAATAATCCCAGAACACAAACATTTAATTGATGTGCCAATATGCAAGGAGTGTTTGCAGGTACTGGCTAAATGAGGCTTGTAAAAGTCAGCTGTTCTCTCATGTTTTCGTAAATTGAACTGTAGCTGCTGCAGGTTTTAATACATTCTGATACATGATGTGTAACTTGTTCAATACTCTGGCATCCAAACAGAAAGTTCACAACAAACCATATACAGTGTTTTTCTTGCTTCATTTTTGCTGACGCTTTGCCTATGACTGGACAGTTTACTACATGTTCTCTTGTTAATCTCATCTGCAGTACAGATTTTAAGACTGTCAGCTTGTTCAATGCCTTTAGGTTGCACGGACAATCATGTGCAGCCTGCCTAAAGATCACAGAAGTCACCGGGAAAAGACTTTTTTACTTTAATTAGAGCAGATTCAGACTCAGGTCTGATCAGACAACAAAAGATAATGCCTTTCTGTGCCAGATATCCCTTTCTTTCTGCCGTCCTTTACTAGCAGAATTTACCAAAATTTTAGTTTGCCAAGTAGCAGAATGTTATCACAAAGGTATAGATTGATTCAGGCAGAACCATCTTCCATAATTTGCAATTGTCTTGCAATTTTTGGCCATTTTCACACTGGATCTGCAATTTATTCCATGAGAACAGAGCTATGCATAACTTTGATAAGCATTAAAATGAGTTGTCTGTATTGTGCTTGATTTCAGTGCAATTCAATGTTCCTGTAAACGACTGCCTGCAAGCAACAAGTCATTTCCAGGAGTGGTGAGCTATAGATTAATTCTGTAACACAAAATTATCATGAACTTCAGCTGATATTTTCCTTTACTCATGATCCAAAGTAGCAACTGTAATACATACAAAATAATGAATGAATTTCTGAAGGGGACCTACAAGGATGCTGTAGAGGGATTCTTCATCAATAACAGGAGTGATAGGACAAGTGGTAATGGGTTCAAACTTAAAAAGGGGCTATTTAGGTTAGATATAAGGAAGAAATTCTTTACTGTGAGTGTAGTGACATAGTGGAACAGGTTGCCCAAAGAAGTAGCAGATGCTCCATCCCCAGAGTGTTCAAGTAAATGTTGGACAGGGCCTTGAGCAACCTGGTCTAGTGAAGGTGTCCCTGCCCATAACAGGGGGTTTGGAACTAAATGAGCTTTAAGGTCCTTTAAAACCCTGACTATTCTATGATTCTGTTAGCTCTAGTTTCTTTGTCCTGGCTTTTCTAATTCATACATAGAATTTATATTTTTCATTAGACATTAGAATAGTGATGCAGTTATGTTCCATTAAGTTGAATTTGATGATCTTAAATGACTTTTCCAACCTAAATAATTCTATGATTCTGTATATTAACAATGCAAATGTCAACTACCGACTCCAGTGCAGCATAGTATCTGGGATTTTATGAAGGCACTTTGTTACTAAGTTTTGTCAGACATACTTTCACCTTAAGGAGCATATAAATATCTAATGGGAAAAAAATTATATTATTGATCCCTCTGTTGATTTTATGCTACCTTCACCATCATACAGATGTGTAATACTAAGACAAATCACAAAATAATGCCATAGTATGAAACGTTTTAGAGATCCTTAGCCTACCGTAAGTGCACAGGCGTGACTTTTCCTTTTGAATTCTCTTACCTTGTAATTTTCTGCAAATAAAAACCTGAATTTCATTGTTAAATTTAGAATACCATATGCCTATCCTGACTGTGAAGCAATATGCCAGAAAAAAAGACATAATGATGTGCTACTAGAATGTTTCAATAGATAGTTTCTCACCTGGGAAAGCGGAAAATCACAATTACTATAGTGCAGAGAACACCATACAACAGTCCCACGTTAGCAGCAAAGCATATTGTAAATATGTAGGTACTAACCCATATGCTCTTTATGGAGGGAAACAGAAAGAAGTGGTTAGTTTTAATTCTTGTAACAATGTGCAATTTATGAATCAGAAATAAAGATTTTAAATTGAAGAGTTTCTCAAACAGTTGGATCTTTGAACTGACAAATATTAAAGACTGAATTAGCAATTGAAACAATGCTTCCCTGTGGGAAAGCACATATGATATTGCACTACTCATCCCGATGTTCACACAAGTTCCTTTGAGAATTACTTAAAATATCATCTGTAGTTGTGCTAACAGCATAACTTAGAATTAACTCAGTTGTTTTGTGAAACCTTTATTTTATTTTTCACATTGAAAGTTTTTGTCACCTTTCTCACAGCGCACATTGAAAATCTTCCTTTCCTTTTACACAATGACATACCCTTAAGGGCAAATACAGAGAGCTCCTCTCCCACTAATTGCATAAATGAGAATTATAATTTGCAAGTTAATTTAAAGTGGCATTTATCAGAGTACAGCTGACTAAACCAACTCTATAAGAAATAAAAATTATTGAGGAATTAATGTCTTCACATAGAAATGGTGAGATTTCAGATTCCTTCCCCATTTTTTGGCATTTGTTTCATAAAACTTTGGATTCATTTTAAATATAATTAAAAAATACAAAGAAGCATATCTGAAACAATAGTAACTTTGAAAAAGAATTTAAAATGAAAAAAATCCAAATATTTCAACATTGAAAATCTTTTTCTTAATAATTTTCTAAACAGAAATGTGTATGGCTGAGAGATATCCAGATTTTACAATTAAAAGGAGAAAAGTATAAATTACCTGATTTCTTATACCAACCTAATATTAGTCCATATTTCTTTCTTGAGGGAGCCTTAAGCAAAGACTGCCACCTAATCTTTATATAAAAAGTGCTAAAGAAGAATGGAAAGCGTTTTCACTCCTCTGGATATACTGATCTCGGCAGGTGCCCATTTCAACAATTACAGTGCTTCTTGTTAATGTTTGCAGAGGAACAGATCACATTACAATGGCACAATCAGTGTTAAAATTATCCTTTCTGATACTTTCACTTAACTCAGAAAAGCCAGAGATAATAGAATACTTTCAGTCTAACCACAGGAATTTTTCTCAAGCAGATTTCAGAACTGTCATTTTACGAATTAAAAAATGGAAGGCATACTGTCCTAATTTGTGCTTCACAGGGGACAGAGAGTTAGACTTTACTGAGAAACATTTCCTCCCTCATCTTCAAAATTCTAAACTACTGCAAAAGGTTTTGCAGTCTCTTCAAGGGCAAGGCTTCTGGGTAAAGGGGTAGTTCACTCTTTGAAGTAGTGCTCTATCTCGAGTTATATTTTAAAATGATATTTTATACAAATTTTGATGTATATATTTGCAAAGAGTACCTTTATGAGTCACAAACATTGAGTTCTGATTAATAAGTAAACAACTAATTCTAAGCATTACAAATACAATATATATTTATAAAGGAGCTTGCTGGACATGAAAAGGCTAACACACGTACTACAAACCTGAAATTCCAGTGGGATCAAGAATTAGCCCATGATGATAAGGCTGAATTCTTAACACCTGAGATCAAGCAATCCACTTCAACTGCAGACCTGAACCTCATCACATCTAACTAAATCACTGCTGCAAGACCTAAAAAATTATTCTGTCTCAGAAGAAAACAGAAAGCATGAAAAAAAAACAATATAAAGTCTGAATAGGAAGAATCAAAGATAAAAATGTATAAGTACTGTTGAGTACTGAAAAAGCTAGTTGAGTACCTTTTTAGCAGCCTAGTATCTTACATCTTAACTGTAACCAGAGACTGCCATTATTGTAGAGGATGGGCCAAAGCAATTATGTTCTCATTTGTCAATCATTCTTCCCGTGCTTTGAATTGGACTGAAGTCAGTACTTTTTTAGTCAGGGAAGCATCAAACTTGTAGAAAGAAATTATGTTGATCTCATAGACATTTTTTTAATTCATGGGTTTTCACAAGGTTCAGCAAAGAAGTCATAAAAATATCAACATTTTCTTTGGCAACTTACTTTAACATGACTATTATATAGTCCAGGACAGACTGAATCGAATAATTCTTCAAATCTTAGCAATAATGTGTTAAAAGCAAATGTTATTCTCTAAAGGCAAAACAAAATCCACCTCCAAAGTATACTTGTACTGTATTAATTTTAAAAAAACTTCTAAAGAGAGAGAAAAGAAACAAGCAGAATATTTATGCTGAATCCTGCATATGTCAGAAAGTTTTGGAAGCACTGAGGGGTACAGTGACTGTGTATATATAGCAGCTGCCTATAGAATTCTGTGGACAGTGTGTTTCTATCTAGAACTTTTTATTTCATAGGGTCTATACATCCACCATTACAGAGTGTCTGAAACAGGAAAAAAGGAGAAGTGGGAGAATACTCTCTGTGCCTATGGTTAAACAATGCAATACTACAGTACCATGATAATAAATGTTTCTGTACCACTTTGAAACTGGATTCTAAACTTCCTTTTTCATTGCAAACTGATGAGATGCTCAGCTATTGCATAAAGGGGTAGGGCTCATTTCACTTGGCATTAACTATCTACAGCACAGATATCTACAGCTGTGTGAGCTGTCTAGACACCCACCATACACAAAGAAGATCTGGTTATCAGAAGGGAATTTAGAATGCAGTGAAAGTCACTCCAGCCATAGAGTAGAAACTCCTTAATAGTGAAGTGGCATGGTAGTTCTTTAATAGAATTTTTCACAAGCATTCTATACACAATGGCGGAATGGTGGAATGCTTGAGAGGGTATTTGTTTGCAAACTGCCCTGGAGACAGATGGACTGGCATAAATATTATTCTGTCCTGGGTTCAGCAGTAGCAGTCATGTTTTTTTTCCTTTGTGTTAGCTGGTGCAGTGCTGTGTTTTGACTTCTAGTTTTGAGAACAGCGTTGGTGAAGCCGATGTTTTCGGTTGTTGCTAAGTGATGTTTACCCTGACCAAGGACTCTGTGAGGCTCATGCTCTGCCAGGGAGGAGGGGAAGCTGTGAGGAAGCAGAGACGGGGCGCCTGACCCGGGCTAGCCGGGGAGGTATTCCATACCACAGCACGTCATGCCCGGGGTGGGGGGTAACTGGGAGTTACCCGGAAGGACAGGAGCTTCCGGGTGGAACTCGTTTTCTTGGCCGGTGGTATCGTATTCTCTTCCCTTGTTATTTTCCCTTATCATTGTTTTAGCTGATAGTAGCGGTGGTGATTTGTTGCTGGACTGTTCTTGTCTCAACCCGTAGGAGTTGCACTCTCTCGATCCTCCTCCCCGTTCCTCCGGGAGCGGGGAAGGGGAGAGCCCCGGTGCAGGGAGGGGGGGGAGAGACGAACACGGACCTTGATTGTTGTCAGCTTGGCACCACTCACTGGGAGTGAGTGAACAAGTTACCTGACTGGGTTTAAACCACGACAGTTCTTTTTGGCGCCCAACGTGGGGAACGAGGGGTTGAGATAAGAACAGATCTGACTGGATTGATAGTCACTCGTCACAATGCTGATTTATTGGCTCTCCAGGTTTTTCCTCTTGATCTCACAGTTTCAGTATACCATATCTTACGTCCATCCGGTATTGGCTGTATTAGTGTTTTTCAAGTGTGGGGCTTGGGCTAAGGTTTTTATCCCATTGTACTTTATGGTAATGACTTGTAATACAATAGAATCATTGATCATGAAACTGATCTGGCTTATGTTCCCAGTGTGGTCACCACCTTTATACTTTGGGAGGTATATGATGGAGGTGCTTAGCAATTACACATCTTTTTTCTCCTTCTCAGGTGCTCAACCTGTGAAGGAGACATCCTTTTACCCTCCTAGTCGTCCCCCCAGACCATTTACATTTGAGAGTTTCGAATTTTTTAAATGGCCTTTTAATGCTCTTGAGACTTGTTTGCTGATGGTGATGGGAATCACCATGCTAACACGCATACAGAGTGTGTTTTGCCCACTACTGATTTCAAGAGTTAAGCAGATTCAGGTTTGGGTCTTGTCTGGGGTCAAACGACGATGTAGGAGGACCGAGAGATTTTCCCAGAGGCTGGACAGCCATGAGTGGCAGGGTGTGTGGGATAGTATGGGCAAGTATCTAGGTCAGTGGGCCCCCCCAGTATTTTGGAATTTCACTACCGAACAACTGCAAAATCCAGAAGAATTAGTAAAACACTTAAATGAGGTGTGTGGTCATTCTGGCCATACCAGAGATGGACAAATCACGGCAACGTGCTGGGGCTTGGCCTATGCTTACAGGGCCTTGTTCAACACTATCCAGCACCTTCAAAAGGAAAAGAATGTCGGCGGATTTGAGGGCAAAGCGACAGTCGCTACTCAAACTTTGGCTGCAATGAACTGCGCAGCTACCCCAGTGGCAAGTACAGCAGCTGCTCAAACTTCAACTGCAACAGACAGCGCGGTTACCCCAGCTCCAAGCACGGTAGCTACACCACCCCCAGCAACAAGTACAGTCGCTACTCAAACCACAGTGATAATCACTGCAGCCAAACCAGAGGACCAATTCGTACCAATATCGGTTGCCCCTGTACGCAAGAGAACAAGCAAGAAGGAGGCAAAAAGGGTGAAGCGAGATGAAGAACCAATGAATTCACCACCCGGTCCAGAATCTGATCAGGAGTCATCCTCACATGACGAAGAAGAAGAAGAAGAGGTAACTTCTCGACCCCGGACCTCAACCGAGCTGCGGAATATGCGAAAAGATTTTACCCGTCAACCAGGGGAGCACATCATCACCTGGTTACTCCGATGCTGGGACAATGGGGCCGATGGTCACGAACTAGAAGGTACAGAAGCCAAGCAGCTGGGATCACTTGCTAGAGAAGGGGGAATTGACAAAGCAATTGCAAGAGAGAAAAAGTCCCTCAGCCTTTGGAGGAGGCTCTTGGCAGCTGTGAAAGAAAGGTTTCCGTACAAGGACGATGTTACGAGTCGTTCGGCCAAGTGGACTACTATAGACAAAGGCATC